AAGTACAGGGAACATGAAAGTGAGAGAGCCAATTATAAGCAGGAAACTAGTAAAGCCAGAGATGTTACTGGTCAGCATGATCATGAAGACAAAGTAGAAGGTGATGATGATGAGGAGGAGGAAGGATTGTGCCACACAGATAGTCAAAGAGGAAAGGGTATTACTTCAACTCGTCACAGGCATCCTGCTCCGTTAAAGTTCAGAATCATTGACAGGAACGATACCTCTCCATCTTGATCAATCAACGTTTCCTAAAGGAGAAAAAGCATCAGGCCTGTAAGATCTCACATCTCATGTCTTTATCCGGGGAATGACGCGATGAAGTGGATTGAGAAGGCATTGATAAGTGCGTTGTGTAATCGCATGTAAATGATCAGCTGTTTATGTTACATACTGTCTGAACTTGGGGGGTTCCAAGGGTAATAACCAGCTTGTGTCTCTTGCTTCATAAACTCTCTCTCTCTCTCTCTCTCTCCATCTCATCTCCTCCAGATAATGTGGATGAGGAGAAGAAAAGGATGTTGCTTGTTTTTTAGCCTTTGGTTTGCATTTGAGATATATCAGATGGTATGGTGATTATAAGTTTTTCTTGGGAAATTTGATTGTATCGTGTACATGAAAATAGCCTGACATAATAACCACTAACCAGGCCATATAATCTTGATCTCCCTCACAATTTTTTGAAGATCTTTCTCCTCTTATTATACGAAGAGATCATTATTACATCTTCTTTTCCCAAATCAAGATGGCTATCGATATGTTTAAACTCTACAAGCACAAGCACAGGGACTATTGTGAAATGATAGGAAGAGAAAATATAAAATCGCTAACAAGCTCTAAACAGCTTGATTGGCTCGGCATTTTCTGATTGAAAATTCAGCTTTCCCATAGTTGTTTCTAATTGCTTGCATTATTAGGCCCTGAAAAATTCTAAAGAACATATTGCCAGATTGGTTTAACTTACAAGCATGATGGGTTATTAGATAGTTTCCCACCATATGCATATCGATTTTTCAATATTGCTGACCCTTTATGAGTGAATCTGACATATACAAGTTGCCTAATTTCTCTTACTTCCAATAAAGATTAGGTTCATCTGGTTTCCACATATTTGCCCTACCGTTTTCATCTAGTTTACCATTTATCCACCAATTTTCATCTTCTATTAATCAGTCATGTTACTTCCATGATCCCATCCAGTTTTATTAATTTCTACTATCGATTTATAATCTTATACAATTGAAACATCTACAAAATTTCAATATCCCTAGGTATGTATAGCTCATCAATCCTCACAACAGAAAAACAAAGTACCTAGATTTGTCAAATAGCTCATGGATCTTCTGCTTTAAACTCTGTCAAATTAAAACCACCTTGTGGAACTAACACAGCATCAACAATCTAAAATTAAAAGGATGATGCAGTGAAAGCTCCAACCGCTCTTCAGTTCTTTTTGTGTCCTTTTATCTGGTCCATACCCCTTCTTCACTTGGAATGAATAATGCTATTTGAAGATTGTGCAACCCAACTAAATCTGACCACCCAATAAGAAACAGTTAAAAATGCTAAAGAATGCATACATTGATGCGTTAGGGTTTAGGGTTTTCCTCGAACCTAGGACAAGGGACCACAAATCTTTTGTGGCTTTACATAGCATGAATTACCGTGAAAATCCAATCAAATCTGAGGCATGCTCTTATTTTACTATGAGCAAATTGGATTGTGAAGGACCTCTCAGCTTAAAGAGACGGCTAAAAACACTCTGATAATATAGTTGTATTGGAGAACTTCAGTCAGAGTTAGGGTTTCAATATGTAACCTAGGGTTCCATAAGCTTTATAGTTTGGGACCACTTCTTGCCACCAAAAAGAAGGGTAGCAAGAACAGTGAAAAGCAGCTCTGAAATGCACTCAATTCAAAGGAATGTCGCAATTGGCGTACACCATTAATTCTTGATTAACCAGAGGGTAAGAGAAACTGAAGTGTGCATAGATTAATTATCCTATTATTGAATGTACATTGTACCATATCCAGCAAAATTGTGGAAACAGCCAAGTTGTCATGTACGGCTATCTTTCTGTATTTGATAGAATGATTTCGCATAATACTGTTTCTACAAGCACCGACCATAAAATTCCGGCATCGAGCTTTGTGTAACTGATTGAACTTCAAATGTTGTTTGACGAGGTTGCCATGTGCCGCACTTTGAAAGTGATTTAACCTAAAATCAGTTAAAGTAACAACAAGTTGCACCAGATTTTTGGCGCAATCATTATTTTCTAGGGAAAAGGGAAGCTCCTTATCGGGGAAAATTGTCAAATCAGTCCTAAACCTATTGTACGGCGGTCAATTCAGTCCTAAACTTTTTAATTTTGCCAATTCAGTCCTAAACCTTTCTAATTCTTGCCAATTCAGTTCTTCCAGCCAATTTTGGCCGGCCGGCGCTGACGTGGCCGCCGGCCGTCCGGCCAACGCTGACGTGTCAATTTTTTATTATTTTTTTCAATTTTTTAATCTTTTTTTTTCTTTTTTTTTTCTTTTTTCTTCCTCTGGCCGGTTCGGCGACCGGCGACCGGGGGCCGGCCAGAGGGGAGGGCCGGCGAGGTCGACCTCGTCGGCCTCACCGTTGCTGAGGCGAGGCCGACCTCAACGTCGCCTGGGTCGCGACGGCGAGGTCGAGCCTCGCCTCGCCCAGCCCGCGGCGAGGCCGACCTCGCCGTCGCCCGGGCCGCGACGGCGAGGTCGAGCCTCGCCCGGATCCGGGCGAGGCTCGACCTCGCCGTCGCGACCAAGGCGACGGCGAGGTCGGCCTCGCCGCCGCTGGGCCTCGCCTCGCCCAGCAGCGACGAGGCCAACCTCGCCGTCGCGAACCAGGCGACGGTGAGGTCGGCCTCGCCTCAGCAGCGGCGAGGTCGACCTCGCCGGCCGCCAGTCGCCGGTCGCCGGACCGGCCAGAGGAAGAAAAAAGAAAAAAAAACAGAAAAAAAAGAAAAAAATTGAAAAAAAAGATTACAAAATTGAAAAAAATAATAAAAAATTGTCACGTCGTCGTTGGCCGGACGGCCGGCGGCCACGTCAGCGCTGGCCGGCCAAAATTGACCGGAAGGACTGAATTGGCAAGAATTAGAAAGGTTTAGGATTGAATTGGCAAAATTAAAAGGTTTAGGACTGATTTGACAATTTTCCCCTCCTTATCGTCATCACATTAGTAGCAATCAAACACCAGAGTACCTTGAAGCACATTTGAGCAGATGCAAATGATTCTTCTTCTAGCTATTTTCACACTTCACAGCTTTACTAATGACATTTTTCTGAGATTGTGTATCCATCCTAAGTCCATACTCAGCTTAGAAATCGTAAACAATGAAATGCGCACGTGCAGCGCATAATTTTTCTTGTTATCAGAAGGCATATAATGTCATATGCCAGTAGATGATATGGAAATGCAAATCAAACATGTATGGACAATTCCACATTGAGTAACTTGCATGAGCTTCGACAAATTATTTCCTAAAGGATATCATGTAGCATACACGATTTTCGTTTTCTTTATATGTTATTTTTCAGCAGATAGTGTTTTAGAGACTGCTTTTGCAGTAGATAATACGTAATCAATGGAGTAAAGGAACAGCTGACCACATATATAATCTAGTTTCTGAGAGGAATGTAACTTGATTTATCTCAGCTGTTAATCCTCACTAAGTTGTCAACCATATGAAACGGTCGTGGATAACAAAAACTACTTTGGATGCACATCTCTAGCTGTTTCATCTAGCAAGCTAGCTGAGCTAATAAGGAAGTATCTCAATTTCTTCTCTCTTGCACTAGTCTTTATTAGTGATAATTAAGTGAAAAAACAGCATATGCATCTCACTGAAATTTTAAGGAGGCTTACTATTGCAGAAACAAATCCTATAGTAGGCTTCAGAATTTTAAGTAGTGTTCATACTGTTACTTGGTAGCTATTTGTATCTACTTAGCAAGATCAAGATGTTAAGATGAGCATCTCTCTCTCTCTCTCTCTCTCTCTCTCTCTCTCTCTCTCTCTCTCTCTCTCTCACACACACACACACACACACACACACACACACACACTCAAACACAAGCTTTTTGTGTTGTGATTAATTATATTTATCAGACCAGTACTTGTGGAAGAAGTGTATATGATACTTGCCCTATATAGATTAATTGGTTTTCTTTTTTTTTCCCATTTTTCTTAGAGATAAGCTTTCCATTAAATGACCAAGTTCTTGTGATAAAGTAACTATATATTTTACTATCTGCAAAATCATGAATACCTAAGTGCACATTACTAAACTAGTTATATTTGAAGCGCGGTTCACTTTCATTTTTCATCAGAACGGTCAATAAGGTAAATGCCTCCTGAAGATTTGACCACCGCATGACGACAGTACTGAGCACATGCTTTTTCCCCTTGGAAAAAAATGGGGCATGTCATTTTTCCCCTTCACCAAATGACATCTGATATATTCTGCAAAGCTTTTAAATGGAATTTTACTTTTCGAAAGGGAAAAAATTCATTATATTCAAATTGAAGAACTGAAGAAAGTAGACCTCCAAGATATTCTGACTGTCAAATTACAAAAGTCAAACTTTTCTCAATGTTTTATTATGAGGCTAAGCCGTTTTCACCTGCACGGGCAGTAACATTGTTGAACAAAATGGGCTTGCAAATAAGGAGAGTAGTTTTCCCTCTGCAAAAGTCTCATTATCTTGTACCATAGCATTCACAAATAACTCTTGCGAACAGTCTGTATATTGCTTAAATATGAGTTACGACTTACCTTATACACGCATGTTCCCCCATTAACCTGATAATTCGAACTTTTAATATGTTTTTCCTCTCAGATAAAACAAAGTGTTTACCTTACATGTACTTTGTTCGGACCAGTATATTGTTTTTCAAGCCATGACGCAAAATAAATAAACTATTTTCAGCACCTTTATACCGCACATACTCCTTTCATCACTAGAGGACCTTATTAACCTGCGGCTGAATCACTATATTGAAGCACACGATGGAGTTATCAACATAATTGTTGAATAAGGCAATAAGATGGAACGATGAAAAACAAAGAGAGAACCACAATCAAACCACTATCACAATGTTTGATTGATAAAGGCTTCCACATATCCCCAACCATCATCAACATCAGGACCCACCCAAAAACCAGCTATCACCCTATCAGTACAAGAATCAACACCAAAGTAACAGCAAATGGCGTCACCAAGATTTCTTGACAGTATAGCTGAATGATCTCTGTGCCATTGATTCACAGAACGCAAGCCTCTTGACAAGCTGCAAGATGCTAGAAGCTCTGGCACTGCAAGGTTATTCACAGCATTATTAGGTAACTGCATAAGAGTAAGTCTTGTGGCACAGTAAAGGGACTGTCTTGTCAATTTAGCACCAAAGTCTAGCATGCTAAGCTCCAACTACCATAGAAGGACAATAATTAGGACCATAGGGTACACCAATCATATTTATCTATCAATTAACCATCAAATGATCTTTCAATTACGTCCATCCAAGTGAACCATCACTTTTTCCCATTAGCAAATGCAACTTCTAAAAATTCTAATGTTGGGCCAAGAAGATCCTTCAGATGCAGAAGCTCTAAGTTTGAAACTTCAATAATTGGGTTGATCACCTTGGTGCCATCCATAACACAAGCCGGATGGTGGTCTGGCTAGTAACTGCCCAGGATACAGGATAATTGACATATACCAAGGGAATTAACCACATAATCTAAGTAGCCTCACCTTTTGAATAGGGTATTTCATGTGCAAAGTTCGAGACACAGAGAGCATATACACATAGGGTGAACTAGTTAGAACTAATCCAGTTTCAGTGAATAGCATTTGCCTGGTGCTGCCCAACCCAGCTGACACCTCAAGAAACAAGAGCTGTAGACTCTGTCGCCTCAGTAACTGTGCTTGTGATAACCTAGTTGATCCATAGGTTTTCTATTATTGGTCATCTGTTGTCAGTCTCAACCCAACTCAGCACAATCAACCAAACTGCAGAAGCCATTCATACTTACATTCCCTAAAGTACAGACTAATCTGTGACACTGACAGTCTCCATATGCTTTTGTTATAGAGCAAGTAATTCAAAATGTTGTCAAGGAGTAATGCCATTACAATTACAGCATAAAATCGCAAAGAGAACCTTTCGGAAATGTAGCATGACTTGAAAGTCTCCCCATATTTGATGTGCAGCACATATCCTATAGAAAATTATCAGACAAAAAATTAGCAGAAAACCTCAAGTTTTGCAACTAAATAAGAACGTAACCAGCTAAGCAACATTCAATCCTCAGGCAGAAAACCATGCACAATCCCTTCGAGACAAATACGTTGTTTCCTTTAATACACGTTCGCATACATGAGAAACAACCTCCTTGCAGAAAGGGGAGGTAAATTGTCAGTCAAATTCACCAACAACAGAATAAAGCTCAAAAATGGCTTCTCAGGCTTTTTTGGGATGGACAAAGATACCATTAGCCAAACGGAGGAACAGCACAAGTGGGCATCGCCACTAATCTTGCGGACAACCACATAAGTTTCATTTGCAACGTTGAATTACTCATCTGAATAGCAACACCATTTTCTATGTCTCCAGCTTTACTTGCAGACAAGCTGTTCGATGGAATGGCGCAAAGAAACACTTCTCGAACGCCGAGTTGTTTCCACACGCGTTCCTTCTTTGTCACAGCAGTTCACTCTTCAGCGACCCCATCAAGAGTACCATCAAATAAAAGCTAAACAAGACTCGAGCCCCTGAATCATCACACCAACGACCGAAAAGCATCGTTTTTTGCGAAAAGCTTTTGAACCCAAAGCAACCATTTTTGAAGCGCAAGATGCCCTTTTGAAGGTAAAAGGAAACAGTATCTTGCTAGAGACAGAGAATTGAGAAGTCATCATCACCTGGGTCGAAGTTGTCGGAGCAAAGAGAGGCGTCGGAAAGAAGCCAATGGAGACGAAGGTGTCCATTGACGAGTGTTAATGACTCTACTGGCGAAAACTGTAAGCTTTGGTTTTTTTGTTGAAGCTGATCTGTATTTTTGCAATTTCTCCGGAAGCCTCCCCGTTAGCTGGAGTAATTTATCGCGTGAACAATTTATTTACATGTTAGGGTAAAGGCCATTTATTATTAATGACATTATAATTTGTGGTATATCATACCATGAGATAAACCTTATTTTTTTCAAGATTTATTTTTTTATTTGGAGAAACAATTTTCAAAAACTAACCATGTGCGTGAGTATGGGGTAAATTTTTTCATTTCAAGAAGATATAGCTTTAAACTCCTTATTCAATAAGAGACATAAAAATCATTTTACAAATATGACTAGATATCGACATTTGAACCAGAAATTTTATGCTTGGCACGGGCCTAGCAACCCAACCTGAGTCCATCTAGGCCACACTCGAGACCCCACCTACCGAGCCTGGATCCTTCGAGGCCGAGAGCAAGTCCTCGGCACCTATGCCCAGTTCCATTGAGGTCAAACCCCAACGCCCATGCCTGGGTTCCTGACTTTCGAGCTTGGGCCCAGGAGTCCTTGGCCCTCTACGCTCGTGCCTCAATCCATCAATGCCAAGCCTGAGATCGGGCGCCGAGGACCGAGGGCTTGGCCGCGATGGACTCGGACATGGGCACCAAGGTCCCTAGGCCCAGTCTCAATGCCCTTAGGTCTGGGCGTAGGGGATCGAGCCCCGGGCGCCAAGTTCCTTGGCTATCCATGCGCAATTCACTAGCAGCCGAATAATGTTTGTCTATTTTCCAGTTCATTTTTGGGTATCGCCAAACAACGGAAAATATTGTCATTGTCTTGAAAAATGACTTCTCGAAAAATATTTTTACATTTCATGCGAAACAAACGGTGCCTAAGAGCAAAATGTATTGACAGGAACAAACTTGCTTGGATTAAAACTATTCATATGTATCGCGAACAATCTATGTTTACGAAAAAACAACTACTGTTTACCAAAGCCACTTACATTTTACCGAGAACGAGTTATGTGCATGATAAGTAGCGGTAAACGTTTTCTGTCCATTTGAGTTAAATATGATTAGTTTATAAAATAGTCGCAGCAAATAAAATAATAAAAACTTAAAGTTGCCGAGAGCAAGTAATAATAAATTCATCACTAGTTTTACCAAAATTAACTTATATCTGCTAAAAACTACTTTTATCTATCGAGAACAATTCTTATTTTACAAAAAACATGTATTTAGTATTTACCAAAAACAATCTACCTACCGAGAATAACTTGCAGAAACAACTTGCATGTATCCATTCTCCGTTTTTTTTATTCTTTTTATTGTCTTGTGTTTTTAAGTATTTCGGCAAATCGACTCACAATTTGGTCAACCGAGCAGAAGTATTCAGGCCTGTGAATTTAAATTTACTAGTAATGATAAGTTGTTTTACCATAAGTGAGTTTATTGCAAGATAATCATGGTTGCATGAGTTAATGTCGGGATTCAAACTAACGACTTGTTGAATACCACGTAAGACAGCAAGGGAGATGCTTATGATTCGAATAGGAGACTAAGATGATCGCTAAAACACAAAATGAAGCGAAAAGGAACAGGAAAAGAAAGAACTCCGTGGAAATTTATTTATGCCCTGTATTTCAAAACACAAAGGATCATCCTTATGCTGCATAACTAGCGAACTACCAATAGAACGAAAACATCTCTGCAGTAGCTTAGGACATTACATATAGGAAGCAGCTTCATATGGAAATGCTATTTGGGATCCCTTTGCCAGTGAGTCCAACCTCGCTGCTGGGATAAAGCAAAGTGTAAGGCATCCTTACTGGCCCAACCCTGTTCCGCCATTTCCCGTCGCTGTTCATGTCGATGATCCTCTGCTCGATCTCTTCCAATCTCTTCCCGAATTTCTCGAATGCTCGAAGCGGCCCTTCGTCGCTGGTCCACTCAGGCGTATCTCTCTGCCCGAGATAAACCTCATCGGGAGAGTGCGTTGACAGAATCTCCACCAGGGAAATCCCTAACAAGGATAGAATCTGGGGAGTTATAGTTTTCAGGAGAGCCTTCTCGCGATTTGTCTCGAGCTCTTCATACTCGGGAGTTCCTTCTTCAGGAAGCAATCTCCGGCTCATCGCGGGCCGGTTCGGGGGATACCCTCCAAAGGGGTATTGTCCGAAATTAATGGCTGCATGGAGAGCCGAAGCAACCCAAATGATTATAGTGCAAGTTTGGATCAGTTCGTCTAGGGAATGCATTTTAGGCCACCAAGGTTTGTCTTTAAGGTCACCGTGACCTTCTTCTCTGAGTTCTTTCCACCAGGACTGAAGTTCGGTGTCCTCTTGCACCATCTCATCATTCTTGTAGTAGAAGCTGCAGTAGTCCCGGACCCACGTTTCAATGGCGAACCATATCTCAAGCCCATCGACGGCAAACGGGTAGTCCTCTATAACTAGGCGCAGCCCATGTCTTGAATTAGCATCCTCTACCGCCATCCCTCTAATGAAGCAAAAAGTTTGACCTCGTCACTTTTAGTAATGACAATATGCAAACTTATCAAATGCATCACCAAAATCATCTATCTAATGAGGTTGCTCGATTGCTCGTTGTTTTGTGAGTGTCACATCCCTTATCCTATGGAGACACTCTTTCCAACTTAAACCAGCAGAATCAACTTTAGCTCCAATGAAAAAAATAATACTCTAAAGAAGTAGATTTACCTCTTGATGAGATCAGCAGGGAGTGCTTGCTCGGGAAAGACCCAGTCCTTGTAAGCAGCACATGACATTTCCAACGAAAACTTCGCAGGGAAAACCGTCATCTCGAGTGCTCCACCTGCACTAATCAGGATCTGCCTTGCAAACCCATTGATACTCATGGTGTCACGAAAATGAGGATGCAGAAGTTTATGAATCGGATGAAGAACACTAAGCTGCCGATTGGTGGCAATCACAAATGGCTCGATGACTGCATGAGTCTTCAACCTGCAAGTGAGCGCAAATGTTCAACACACATCCCAAAATAAGGGGAAAGAAAGGCTTTCCGACTAGTTAATCAAGACGCTATCATGACTTTTACCAGTGGCTGATGAGTTGATGATAGCCAGAGTCATTGACAGAAACATAGGCTTTGGCTAGGTTCCAAAGTGAGCCCTCAATACCATCCTCAGCTGGTGTGCAAACCCTGCTTATTTCACCAAATTCATCCCCATCAGGATGGGGCAAGATCAGTTCAATTGCCAATGGCTTCAAAGTTCCGTCTTCTTTCAAGCATAGAAGAGTCCTTGTGGCATAGGTCTTTGTCGAAGTTGTGTTTATACCCCGAAGGAATGGCATCAGCGTATCGTAATGATCTAAAATGAACAATTTCTTCTCCTCGATAGCCTGGTGAAGCGGAAAAAAGCATTCATGTCTATGACACACGATTATCTTCGGTACAATAAATCCAATAGATCAGAGATATTCCACTGAAGACTTCGTCAAAAATTTGAATAAAGAAGAATTACCTCATCCAGGGTGAGCCCACCCAAGTTTTCTTCTATATATACTCTCATGTCTGGATTATTTTCAGGGTTGAGCTTGCTTTCACAAGGAAATTCCTGCAATGAATCTAGAGGGTATGAGGGACAAAATTGAAAAGTTATTTTCTGCTTTATGCCGGCATATACCAAAATCCTGCGCAGATTTATCACGCAATCATTTTCGCACGAGTAACTAAGAATATTGATGTTAATGCCAAAAGTTGGAATGGCGCATTTTGTTCGGACATCGCAGCATGGCGGCCAATTATAGGTACTCGACAAAGCTAGGCCCAGAAGTGTGAGCAAACCTGGAGACAACAGATGACAACGGGGTCCACCCCTGCCAGCATTTCTCTCGCAAACTCCTCGTCTGTACTCCATGCTGATTTATCTTCTGCTTGACCAATGAACAGTAAAGTAAGGATAGCATAATTGCATAGTGATGAACGAAAATTTGTAGTCCAGTGTTGTCGTCATAATGCTGATAATAGATTTACCCTTAATGACTTGGGGCTTCGGAAATTTGAGGAAACCGTCGCTGTCTGTACGAAGAAGTTCCCTGAGCATCTCCGAAGGGACGCTTTCCATTACACTTTCAATGAACTGGTTCTTCTGCAGCTTGATACCCCCTTCATAAACCTTTAGAATTTCTTGGAAGTTATCAAACTCACCCGGGGTGCTATCAAATTGTCCTTCAGCCGCGGGTATAAGGAAATGGGCAACAGATTTCACAGCAAAAGCCAGCAAGTCCGAAAACTTTATGTGGCTGAATCGCTCATCCCTCGGGACATAGATGCTCAAGCTCTGAAGGATTGGTAACCTGCTTTCAACATTTGGATCTGGATGACAATTCACAAAAACCACAAGGCTGTCAACAACTGCCAAGATTACTAGCAAATTATACTACTTGCAATTTGCATGTGCAGGCTCTATCCTCACAATTCCTTAGCGGATCATCTATGGTTTACCAACAATATCAGCTCTGAGACTATTTAAGCATCGCAAATTAGATGCATTTATTTCCTCAAACACAACCAGAGAATATGCAAATCTGACCTTCCTTGTTTGGTGGTCGGCCTGTTCTTCCCCTACGAGGATAAGGATAGTCACTAGACCCCCCAAGAATTGGACGGACATATTTTGGACCCTTCTGGGGTTCGGACAAATCATTATAGCAGGCATAGTCATAGACCCTCTCCCATTCTTTGCGCTCGCCTGTTCCATCTCCTCTCAGGTTCTCCAATTCTTCTTCTCTGTACTTGCTAAGTGGTGCTGGTGTTTCGCTTGGAAGATATGTCTGCAATGATGGAATAACTTCATCAGGAAAAGAAATCATAGCGCCTTTTCAGATCTCTTTTTGAAATATTTGTTCATTGTACACTCGCTGTACTAAATCTGCAGGCAAATGAGTGAGATAATGGAGCGTGCGAGAACATTTAAGGGTTAAAAGTCCAAAAGGTCCACTTTGCCCGATCAGACATGCATTTTTGAGACAACATTTTAGAAGTCATTGCCTTACATTATGCCTTACTCGTCAATATCTACTTCCTCCCTTTAGCATGCATACCTTATTGGCGAAGAAGATCCTGTCCTTTGTGTAGTGCTGAGCAGGATAAACCCAGGAGTTGCAAACAAAGTGGATCTGACCATGACCAGGGACGTCTTCAAGAGTGACTGTCTTGAGGAAGAACTCAATGTGATGATTGTTTCTTATCAGGAATGCTCCTGGAACTCCTATCTCCTGGTCCAAATGATGTGTCAAACCGAATGCCAATTCACCTGGTGTCGAACAAGCGCTAGTGTTCACCGGATCCTCCAGGTGTACTGGTTTCCCAAGTTTCCCTCGCAACGCATTCCCTACACAGGAGTAACTTTCCAGTGAAATCCAGCAATTGAGGATGCTATTTCCCCGAATGCAGCACAAGTTGAAGGATGATACGATTCAGGAACATTAGATTATCTCGAAACCAGATGGACCAAACTTACTTTTAGGCTTTGTTTGTCTCACTGGAAATGGTTTTCAACATTCTTGTCGCAGGATATATTTTGGGCAACCGACAATGGTCAATAACCAAACACAACTTAACTGGCCAAGTTGCTCAAAGGTACTCAGTAGTCCTGTCTAGTGGCTAGAGCTTTTAACTGTCAGCGAAGGATCCTAACAAAGTGTATATTCTCTCTTTATCCTCATCCTAAGTAATTTCAGCATTCCAGAAATGATTTGGCCATTGAGAATTTACCGGAAGATATCGACTTTCACTACATGCTTGAACTGGGGCATAGTCTGAATTAACACTATAAGTCAATAGCAGGATGCTACAATCCCGGGAGAAGAAAACTGAAAGCCCTAAATACAACTTGATTTGTTTGAGGAAATCGAACATAACACATGTTATCAATCTAAGTGCCCCCAACTACCTGGCCACACGGTAAGTCAAAAACTGATTAACACTTTGATCTTGCAATTGAGCATTGACATCCATACATTAGGTGGATCTCCAAGACCTTCGAGAGGTTTTTCCCCAGAAGAGAATGAACCTCGCATATCTTCTAAACTCTAATCTTATGAGTTTGCCATATATCCAACAACCCTTTTAGAAACAGTCCTGCAAACAACACTTCCAAGTGCATATGTTCTTCACATCAAACATTTAGAGATGAAATTAACGAGATATTGTTTACTCATATGAATAGGCCAACTTGATTCCAGATGGATAGGCGGCCAAAACATGGAATTATTTTACACTCCGCGACCTGAGGAATCGAGCATGCGCTGTGCGCTAAATCTATACTACCCTCACGTGTCTGTTCGAGATCTTTTCTTTTGGGATCATAACTCCAGATCAATCAATCAAACCATTGCACAAACCACCCGTTGACTGCGATGTCTTTGTCATTGACTTGGAATTTTTTGTCATTGACTCGTAGTTGAGCCGAGTTGATGAGACGTCACTTTCACGGTTTTCGCAGACCCTCTTCGGACTAAATTCTGTGGGCTTCCATAGTTCCACCTCTACCCTCACCCAAAACCATCTCTGAAACTAAAATCCAGCTACTAAACCCATAACACTAATTAACGAAAAGAAAAGAAAAGAAAAGAAAAGAAAAGGAACTAGTTCTCAGCTGTTCTGTCAATTTTTGAACACGAACCAACTTCACAAAATTTCGCAGAAATCAGAAGGAAAAGATATCACGAGAAACCTCACCAGGATCTTCGTTGACCGCGCTGATGAACTGCAGGGACACGTCCTTCCCCGCCAGCTCATGACCCGTCACTTTGTCCACCAAGCCACGACCCACGTCCCGCACCGTCGAAGCGAAGCTCGTGAAGTCCGTGGTCTTCTTCTTCTTCAGCACGACGCTCCCCCGGATCCGCCCGCCCTCCCCCGCCTCGCACTTCATCTTCTTGTTCCCATTCTCGTTGCTCGCCACGCTCTTGGTCGCCATCGCATCGGCCATTCTCTCTCCCTCTTCTCTTCTCTTCTCTTCTCCTTTTTCCTTTGCCTCTCTCGAGATCAAGAACAGAGCAAAGGACGAAGCCAAAACACAGAGAGAGAGAGAGAGACAGAGAGGGAAAAGAAAAGGTCTGTCAATGGTGGCGAGTTTGAGGGAGAGAAAGAGAAGAGAAGGTGGTTCTTATAGGCGGAGGAATCAACTACCAGTGTTGATTCATGGTCTTACTTCAAAGCTTACCGGGTCTTCCCACGAAGCTCCACTGCTCTTGCATAGAAAGACTAGGATTAACTGATAACTGTTGACTTTTCATGTACTTTATTTTATTTCATATTGAGTGGCAGCGGGGCGTCAATTTTATAGGGGGGAATAAACTATGGTAGGTACTAGGTACATGGATATAATATAAGCACGTTAATTAATGTGAAAACAGTGATAAAATCTCCCTAAGGCACGATTTAGCCCTCAACTTATATGTATTGTTTAGTCAAGGGTTAATTAGCCAATATGACATCTTTTATGGGGGGGGGGCAAAGCGAATATGGTGTCGGTCCACGTTGCACCGTGCATGTTAATTTTCTCTTGCATTTGATGTGGTGGGATGACACGGCACGATTCCTCGAATCAAGAATTTTACTTTTTCACTGAGCAAAAAAGGGGGAGGGGGGCGTGGGGAACTTGAGATGGTGGAGGATAAGTTCTGAAGAGATTGCACCAAAGTATCGAGACCAACTGATTAATGTGGGAGAGCATCGTTTTCTGTGTGTTGGTAAGTATGAAAGCATCGTTAATTGACATGGTCAAAGCACGAGGTGGGGGATGGGAAATGGTAAAGTGCATGTTTCCTTTTCACATAGATAGGTGGGTGAAGACATTCCTAATATTCCCACTTTTGCACTCAATTATCTGCCCTTGAAGTCTCTGAGTCAAGGGTCGTGAACTTCAAGTCGAATTCATTGACTCAGTCAGAAATTTGAAAAAAAAAGTGAGAAGGAAATACCCGGTCCTTTTTTTTTTTTTTGAAATATATATGTATATAATTTTTTGTATTTGGGATTTTTAATTAGCATTTGCTTGAGGCCGCGAGACCCCGACGGCTCACCCGGCGTCGCTCGACCTTGGCGGCCCTTGTTTGCGCTCGCGACCTCGGCAACGTGCCTCGCCTAAGCTTCATTGAGCTCTGTGGCAACGGTGGGGCCTTGCAGATCTGCTTGCATGGGCTCTATTGCGATGGTCGGGCCTCACCAAGCTATGTTTGCCTCAATTGAGCTCTGTTGTGTCGAGGGTTACCGATCGACCCTCGCCTCGCCGACGATCTTACTTTCCTTTTCTATTTTTGAAATATATCTATGTATATATTTTTGTATTTGGGATTCTTAATTAGCAGTTGTCTCGTTCAATGGGAACTCAACCTTCTTCTTCTTCTTCTTCCATGCAATTTGCCAACTGTTTTAATGCACCTATGGCTTGACAGGAACTGCTGATAATAAACAATCGATTGCTATCTTCTTTGGACTTGTTTATACACGTTCTTTAACTTGATTTCATTTGATTCTATGTCGATCTGTTCGAGGGTCTGTCACTCCTCCCGCTGGTGAAAACATAGGACATTTAATGTTATCTGGGGAAGCTTAGGTGGCTTTTAATGAAGGGAAACAAGAAGACAGAAGGAATCGGACAGCTGAGAAAGTGAAAGAAAAGCCGACAAAGTTCCAGCTTTATGAACAGTGAATTTCCTGTTTTGCCCATAATGTAGAAGTTGTGTTGTTTTTTTTACTTAACCAGGGTTAACACGAGGCATCAAAATTCGAATCGTTGCTTGTTGATTTCTTTACTTATTTTAGCTTGAAGTTACGTCGCTAGGGATTTGAGATGTGGCAAAATTTATTAGGCCGCGTCGAGGCCAATACTCACATTAGACGCCAGCATGGAAGGTTCTTCTTTCACCTTAATGTGCTGGAACTTGAAGGTCTGCTTTCAAGATTGGAAACATAAGCCGAATTCGCCAATGTAAGGTTCTGGGAGAATGAGACGGGAATGATGATCTCACCTAAATCGTTGAGCATGCAGAATGGAATCATCAGATCGAGCAGGTAGTCGAGATGGCTGAGTCATGCGATCGAGGCAGAACAGAAACAAAGATGAGCTTATTTATAGTTCATGAACTTGAAATGGAAGAAGAAAAATACCATGTTGATGGTTAAACCTGGGGTTTCTTTCTGAATTTCATGACTTGGCATTTTTCCAGTCCTTAAACAATGGATTGTGTTTATGAAGTTTGAAACTTGTAAATAATAATGTCTCATTCTTGCACGAGCAATGCTCCAAGAACAATCTGTTAGCCTAGCAATCGGTATACTGAGATCCAAAACTGGACAAATATTTAGGATGCGTTTGGTTCAGTTCACTCAAGGGACTCTAGGCTTATAAAGTCCCTTCTTAAAAAAGTTAAGGTGTTTGGCAAAAAATTTTTAGGTCACTTTGGGAAAATACCATCATTAGCAAAACCGAAAGCCTAAGGCAGGCGGACCTGCCATAGGCTTATTGTATTTTCGGAAGGCAGGTTTCAAGATAAATGAATTTTATTTCTTCACAAATTACCCTTACTAATAATTTCATATTTCGGTTTTGCCCTTGCAATCGTTCATCTTCTCTCTGTAAATTTGGAGTTCGCGGAGGTGGAGGAGCTGGACAGACGCCGGCGAGGGGTCAGCTGGGGTCACGCGACACTAGCATCGCGTCACTTGGGGTCGTGCGGCCTTGGCTACCTATCGCCTGGCTCTCATGACGTTAGAATCCAGATTTGCCGCCTGACTTGTGCTACGTCGGAGTCTAGATCTACCTCACCTAATGTCATATGACCTCGGTAGCCCTTGCCTAGTATTGCGCCGACCGTCAAAAGGCCAAATTTCAGAAGCCCGACCGTCAAATTTTTAGATCTGAGAAGTTTGAGGTCTCATGAGCTCGACATAGGTTTGCTTGAGGTCGTGAGACCCCAGCAACTCGCCTGGGTTGCTTGACTTGGTGGCCCTTGCCTAGGCTCACAATCTCCGCGATAGGCCTCGCCTAAGCCACTAAGCTATATGGTAACGGTCGAGCCTTGCAGGTCTGCTTGCATGAGCTCTATTGCGACAGTCGGGCCTCATTGAGCTCTGTTTGCCTCGCCTCACTGAGCTCTCCTGCGTCAAAGGTTGCCGCCCTCGCCCGGCCAACCGTCCTATTTTCTTTTTCTCTTTTTGAAATATATATGTATATATTTTCGTATTTGGGATTCTTAATTAGCAGTTGTCTCGTTCAATGGGAACTCATCCTCCTTCTTCCATGCAATTTGCCAACTTTTAAATGCACCTTTCGCTTGTCAGGAACTGCTGATAAAAAACAATCGATTGCCATTTTCTTTGGACCTGTTTATAGACATTTTTTGACGTGAATTGAATCAATTGATTTTAGCTCATCACATGTTCGGAGGGAATCTTGACTATAAATCGATCTGTTCGAGGGTCTGTCACTCCTCTCATTGGTGAAAACATAGGACATTTAATGTTTTCTGGGAAACTTTGGTGGCTTTTAATGAAAGGAAACAAGAACAGAACGAAAGGAATCGGACAGCTGAGAAAATGAAAGAAAGCTAACAAAAGACCAGCTTTTATGAACAGTGGCGTTTCTTTTTTTACCCATGATGTAGAAGTTGTTTTTCTTCACTTATTTTAGCTTGAAGTTACATCGTCAAGGATTTGAGATGTCGCAAAACTTATTCGGCCGCGTCGAGGCCAATATTCATATTACACGCCTGAACGGAAGGCTTTTCTTTCAACTAAAACATGAAGGTCTGCTTTGAAGAAAGGAATAATAATTAATAAGCCTAATTCACCCATGTCCAAGGTTCTGGGAGAAGACGAAGAGTATAATGATCGTCGCCTTAATAGTTGAGCCTGCAGAATCAGATCATTAGATTCAGCCGGTAGTCTAGATGGTTAAGTTATGTGATAGACGCCGAACAGAAAGATAAATATAAACTGATTTATAGTTCATGAACTTGCGATCGAAGAAGAAAGAGACCATGTTAATGATTAAACCTGGGGTTTCTAGCTGAATCTCATAACCTGGCATTTTTCCAATCCCTAAACAATCAACTGTGTATGTAAAGTGTGAAACTTGTAGATAATGTCTTAATTCTTGTAGAAGCAATGCTCCAGAACAATCAGTTAGCCTAGCAATTGGCAGACTAAGGACCAGAACTTGACAAACACTTACTATGCTTCACTTGTTTTGTGGACACTCGTATGTCATACTTAACACTAACTTTCATTCACCTTGTGAGGAGGTCAGCGGGAAGCGCTTGCAAGGGAAAACCCACTGTGTGTAGAAGGCGGAAGACATCTCCATGCAATACGTTGCCGGGAAACCAGTCGACTCCAAGATTCCACTGGCATTGATCAGAATCTGCCTGGCGAAGGCGTTTGTGTTCATCGTGTCACGGAAATGAGGATGCAAAAGCTTGTAGATCGGGTGAAGCACGCTCAATTGTCTATTTGTCGCAATCACAAATGGTTCAATCACTGCGTGAGTATTCAACCTGCGGTAAGAGTAAAGGAAATAATCAATAAGCAGGAAATCGATTAACTTTTTTCCTCTTCTTTATATAGTTGGGCGCACCATAGGAATCTTTACCCGTGGCTGACGAGTTGATGATGACCTGAGTCGACTGCCACATGAGATTTAGCCAGCTGCCAGATGGAACAGTTAATGCCTTGATCGGACGGAGGGTACACCTTGCTTATTGCGCCAAACCTGTCTCCCTCAGGGTGTGGCAAGCTAAGCTCTATTGCCAGCGGCTTCAGGGTACCATCATCCTTCAAGAAGAGGAGTGTTTGTGACCCATACATTGTGCTGGTAGTCAAATTTATCTGCCTCAGAAGAGGCCAGAGCACGTCGTGGTGAGACAATATGTACAGTTTGTTCATCTCGATAGCCTGTGTTCTGAAATTGTCATTTTAATTCGGAGATACGATCTTAAATGAACTTCTCATCATTTTTTAAGCAAGTTTGAACATATGGACACTCTTGGAGACGTGAAACGCCACGATGTGAGAAGCGATGACGGTACCTGTTTGACAGTTAATCCATTTAATTGCTTCTGAACGAGCTCTTCCCTTATTGAACTGCTCCGTTTGCCATATATTTTAGGGTCTAGCTTGCTTGCTGGAGGGAATTCCTGAAATCAATACAAATGTTTGATTAACTAGACAATTGGTGGAACTCCGTTCTGCTTCACATTAATATTAACTG